ACCTTCCTCACATCAGCCTACAGCCTGCAAACTGCTTCCCTGAAAGCAAGATTCACTTAGCTTTCAAAATAAAGTGTAAAGGACCCACACGGCTTAAAAGGTACAAGTCTATGAAAATATACATGCACAGAGAGGGGGAAAAAAAAAACAGAAAGGAAAGAACACTGGTGAAAATGTCTGTGGCAGGCTATGAGAGCGTTTGGGGTTTACTGTTATTATTGTTTAATTCATTGCTGTCTCTACTACAGTTACATGATATTTAAAAAAAAAATTAACAATGAAAATCAGGTACAGAGAATTTATCTTGGAGCCGGTCCACGCAAAATGGCTTTAGACCATGGAGAATCTCTTTCCAGCCGGAAAACTCTAAGCAGAAAAAATAGTCTCTGATAGGACTTGTTGATCCCTAGAAACTTCAGCCTTGCGATCTCTCTCCCTTTCTCTTCCTTTTCTTTTTCAACATTGCATTGCTATTTAGACTTAATAATCTGATAATAATGGAAAGGGCAGATTAGAAAACGGAATACTGAGGTTTAGAAAAAGCCTGGACGATGTGCACAAATTTGTATGCATGAGCGTGTGTGTGTCCTGTCCATCCCTCTGTCTGTCTGTCTGCCTCCGTTTGATAGGTTAGTAAAATATGGAGAAAACAGTATAGAGACTAAAACAGAGCAAAATGCAAAGGTTCCCTTCCAACCCAAGAATGGAACAGAGAAATCCAGCCCGGGTCTGGTTAACTAGGGTCCTTTTTCACACTGAGACTAGGAGATAAGAGAAATAAATAGAATGGACTTAGATCTTTAGAATAGGTCTATGAAAAGGTATGCTTGAAGAAAAAAAAATTCAGGTAGGATACGAGTGTGTGGACAACTAGTTAGGAAAAAAGCAAAGAAAAAAAAAAGCAAAGTGTGAACTAATTGTGGAGAAAAACATCATGTGTAAATACTGAACTTATCAGATCCACAAAGAATGTGAATATTTGACTTGAAAATTTTTCAATCAGCCAGAATTTCTTCACTGCATCAGACTTTTCTTTAGGGGTAATTTTCATCAATGGAAAACTAGTGTTAAAAGCTGGACGCGTGCTATCTTTCTTTCTCTCTCAGGTTATCTCTAGCCTGTTTTTACGGCGTGTTCATTGCTGTCTGCAAAGTCTGTGAGACAAGTGAAAATTCCACTTGGCTTAGAAATATAATTTACTCCCCAGGCTAGACGTTATGGTATACATGCAAGGTAAACCAAGAGCTGCTAGATTTATGGTAAACTTAAAAAATAGATAAAATGAGCAATTCAAATTCTAGTTACACTTTGACAAGTGAAAATTGCTTAAAAATAATTTTCTCCTATTATCCTGGAAGCTAAGTCAACTACAGGCAGCAAATCATCAAGTTCCCATCCATATCACATTCTCATTAAAAAGGATAAAATGTCCACATAGGTAGTCTATTATCAGACCTGTAAAAATTCTACCTTTGCTTTGAAATAAAATTCTCCCACTCCTCTAGGACATACCCTAAATATAAGAGATAAATCAACAGCTTCATAGATACATGGCAAATTGCCATAAAATAGACAAAATGTACAAACAGAAGAAATACAATGTGCAGTGTCAACATCCCACTCAGTGCTAAAGCAGTTTCCCTACCCCACTGAAAACTAACCATGGTGGCAAAGAAAGAGGCTGATAGCTCCAGAGCCAACTCTTACAAAAATGGATAACACGTTCAAATACAAAGAACAGCTAGTAACTACTGAAATAAACAGCGCACAGTAACTCTGCATATGCTTCACACTGACCCTTGTGAAAAGCTGGCGCAAAATAATCCAGACGAGGAAGAGCCCCTTAGAAAAATCTAAATTTCGCCTGGATAGTAAATATCAAGAGTGTTTAGGAGTCTTATCTATCAATAGAAAGACATACTGGTTTTTAAACTTGGTTTGGGTAACAACAGCAACAAAAATCTCAAGTATCTATTAATTTTGTCTGTTCACATAAATAATTGTTTTGTCCTTTCAGATAGCAAGGAAGTTTTACCTAAACAGCTGTTATTGCCTTTTTCCCCGAGAAAATTATGATTTGAAGCAAAGTAATTTCTTTAATATGTAGAGCATAAGATAAAACCTCAAGGATCTTGATCAGACGTATAGCTCTGTGTTATAAAACTGAGATTGGGAGCCACGGCTCAGCATGTGGGCTTGAATTACTTAGGTGTTATGGCTGTTCGTATGCATCAGTCAGAAAAACACTGATTTTTTATTATTTATTTGAAAGAAAATTGTAAAATTAATGTTATTTGATGCTCAAAATCTACCACTTGGAAAGAAAACATGGGAAAAGTTAATTTAATTCAATATTCAATTTTGGGAAAAATATATATATGCAACCCCATGAAAAAACATTTTTTGTAGATCCTTCTATAAGCATAGAGGGTAGTCTGAAAAAGCAAACCATAGTTTGCCGGCCCCACGGCAAGCCAAGGATGTCACAGGTGATCTCGTCTCCATTCCCTGTACTAAGGTAGCCTCTGAAATTTGGACAATGAGTAGAATTACTATTATTACAAAAATACCAACAAAGCCTTTTTTAACTTTTTAGGCCAAAAAAAAAAAAAAAAAAAAATCCTGGTTGAAATTTTGAAATGAAAAATCAAATCAGTTCAAACCTTGAAAGATGGGTGTTTTTTGTTTTTTTAACTTGCATTTTCCTTGCTTTTTTTTTTTTTTTATCTGTCTTTGCTATAAATCTCACCTTTTAAAATCCGATGTTATCAGTGAACAGCTAGGTGAATTAACTTTGCAGGAGAAACAACTGCCAAGCAGATGGCAGTCCCGCAGTCACCAGAACAGGGACTGTTAAATAAACATTGTTTTAAGATTCAGGAATTAGTGTGCCTTGCAGAAGGCAATAAACATTTTTAAATCCCAAAAACATGACTATGCTCACCCAAAAGACAAATGTCTTTTGCTCTTGGAAATCTGCCCTTATTTATTTCTGTTTCTGGGGGTCAATACTTAATTTTTAAGAAGTAGATTCCCGATAAATGAATGAGTTTTTGCTTAATGCTAAAAAGCGTAGCGCTCTGTACAGAACAAGGTCCCTTCTACCTTGTCGGGCACAATGGGTCCAAGTCTTGTTTTTCCTTTAAGGAAAAAAAAAGCTGTAGAATGGTTGTGAAATACGCTCAGTTTTAGTCTTGAAAGACAAATACTTTTCATCTGTGGTTCATAGATCCAACTCAGTTGTAGACAATTTGATTTTCCTTTTAACCTTAACTTTTCTGACAAAGATTAGCAACAGATTGTTAATTTTCTCAGCGCCACCGTGAGCAGCTTAGGTAGGAATCCACAAAAAGGTTTTCTTTCGCATCCTTTCCCTTCAGTATTTGAACGTCTTGTCCCTTTGCAAATTTCCCTAACATTAATTTTTTTTTTTATTACCAGTTTAAATGTATCAAATCAAGCAAATGCTTGGAGCTGAGCCTCGGGGACCTGTTTCAAAGGTTTAAGCGTGCCGCTACCGCGCCCCAAAACAATCATCCACCCCCCAAGATTTCGAAAAACATAACGGCGCGGGGAGAAAGCCGAGGTCTCCGGGTAACCCTTGCAATCACCACCCAAGCTCCGTAGCTGAGAGCCTCCAGAGCCCGCCAAATACGTTCGAGGCCCCCACAGCTGTTTTCAATTGTTCTCCGCTCTCCCCTCATAATGAATTTAGTAGGGCAATGGGTGCTGTTTGCAGCATCTCTGGCCGCCAGCCATGGTTGACCCTGACCCGTCTCCCAGCATTTCAGGATCCTGCTTCCTTGTTCGGTAAAACCTAGGAAAAACCAGGTTTGCGCCACCAGGAAACAGGCTTTAAAAAAAGAGGGGGAAATATTCAGCCTTTTAAATGTCATGTTTTGGTGGTCCCTCTGTCCCTCTCGCTCTCTCAATCAGACTCCAGAGAAAGGGAAGAGATGTACATCTTTTGTGTGCGAGAGAAAGCAGCTGGCCAGCCATGTCCTTTGGCTAGCATCTAGGCCAGGGAGTCTCAATTGTGGGGTGAAGCCCCCCCACCCCACCCCGAGGGGCCTTGACCCCCCAGGTCTCTGTTTCAGGGTTCAGAAGATGTCCACCACCACTCTGGGGGAGAGGGGGGCACGCTCCTTAGTGGAAACTGGAGATAAATTCCTGCCCTGATGGACAGGGAGGGGCCGTGGGGGTGCAGAAAGAAAGAAAGAAAGAGAAGGCCAGGGGTCAAGGCTGGGGGGGGGGACCCACTGGGCCCAGAAAGTGGGCCTCAGGGCGTCCTGAAGGAGGGGTGCAGTGGGGGGTCGTTGGGCAGAGAGCCGGGCTAGCACCCTTTGGGCGCGCCCTGGCACCCAGGAACCCGAGTGGGGGAGGGGGAGGCGGCGGGCTGCGGGGGCCCCCGAACCTCCACGACGCGCGCGCGGGCCACTAACCTGTCAGTAAGATGGTGCCAGCGGTCGCGGGGCTCATCCTGAGTGTCCCCCGACCCTTTCCCGTCCACGCACAGGGGTCTCCCAGCTCCCACCACCAGGATAATAGCATTCTTGGCCTGGCTAGGCCGTCAGCCCTCGGTCCTCCCCTCCCCTCCCTTTCTTCTTTTCCTCCCGGCTTCAGCCTCGGTCTCCGGCGCCCCCCCTTCCTGAGCGCATGGCGCCCCTAGCGGCGGGCCGGAGCGGTGCGGGCCGCGCCCCCGCCCCATCCCCCAGGCGCCCGCCCACGCGCCCCCGTCCGCCCCCGCCGCCCGCGAAGCACGCTGGGACTCGGCGCCCCCCCGCCCAGGGCCGCTCTATATAAGGCAGGCGGTCCGGGCTCCCGGTACACGCGTTTCCAACTTCTGTTGGTGTGTGTCGAAGAACCCTGACCAACCGCGACCCGAGGAGAGCAGCCGACGGAGACGGTCCACCGAGCCTCGCCGAGGTCCACTGCGCGGGCTGCGGTCCGGAGCTCTCTCCGGACCGCGGTCACCCAGTGGACCCGTCCCCTGGCCGGGTCCGAGACCCCCGTCGCCGTGCCCGTCTTCGCAGAGGAGTCCTCGCGTGGTGAGTATGCGGTGAGGAATTTTTTTTTTTTTTTTTTACCAAAACCCCTCCAAAAAAAAAATCCCGATCAACACGCAGATCTCCCCCGATCCGACCTGATGGTCACCTTAACATTTTTTTCGGGAGCTGCGGGAGATGAAGTAGCGCCCCGGAACATCTCCGCGCACATCGCAAAAAAAAAAAAAAAAAAAGAAATCGCGTCACGCCTTCAGTGGCCGGATCCCCCCGTGCTCCCCGAGACCCGAGTGCCGCTCGGCGAGCCTTCACGGCTGCGGCCGCACGCCTCGGGTCTCCGCGGACGCGTCCGCGACGGGGTCGGTGGACGCATGAGCTGCGGACAGCGATGAGCTGCAGACGGACGCCACCCGGGGTGGCGAGCTGCAAAGTGGCCCTGCAACTCCCGGGCGCTCCCGGCGCCGCAGACGGGCCGGGGGGGCGCTTTACGCGCCCCGCGTCCTCCCAGGCGCCCACCGCGGGGCGCCTCGCGCGGCAAGGAAGAGCCTCCCTTGGGGCGCGTCACGCGAAACCCTGATGGGCGCTTCACGCGCCTCCATGTGCCAATGGGCGCTTCACGCGCCGCCATGTGCTAATGGGCGCCCCATGCGCCTCCGCTGTGCTAATGGGCGCTTCATGCGCCTCCGCTGTACTAATGGGCGCTCCAGGCGCCTCGGCGAGCTAACGGGCGCTTCGTGCGCAGCTAAAGCGGGCCGGATCGCGGCCGCGGCAGACAGACGGACGGACGGACGGACACACGAAGTGGTCCGCGCCTCGCGCGCGCGCGCCCCAGATCCTCCCGAGACGAACCTGGATGCAAAAAGCGCAAGGGGTTTGGGGTGGTGGGGAGGGGAGGGGGAGGTTGGAGGATTTATAAATGCGCTAAAAACTGCTGCAGCGGCCTAAGAGCTGCGCAGCCACGGAGAAAGTGGCGTTGGAAAGACGCGAGGGAAAGTACAGCTCGCGGCCTTGGAGGGGGCAGAAAGCGCCTTTTCCCGACCCTCGGGGCGGGGAGTGGGGGGGGCAAATCCGTCTTCCCTCGAGACGGCGATCTGCGTGATGGTGGTGGCAGACAAGATGGAGCCCCGGGCGGCAAAACTGAGTGTTTAGCATTCTGCCCGCACCGCTCCTGCTCTGGCAGTCGAGTGGAGGAGGGGGCCCGGATTTTGGAGATGGCAGAATGGGCTGCCTTGTCTAAGGGTGATGGATGGAGGTGACGGTCCAGTCCACTCGGTGGCGCGAACTGGCGTCCAGCAACAGTTTGTGGAGAGAGAGTCTGGTTTGCGGGAGGGGGGAGGAACGGGCCGAGGCGGGGTGGGGGGGGGGACGGCTGGTCGCTCTTGCTGCGCAGAAGGAATCTGGGGAGCTGGTGGGAGGGCGCGGGGAGGTGGGAGGGGGGGCGGGGGGAGGCGTGCAGACACTCTGCAGCCCTGGAGCAGCCAGTCTCAGACCTGCCCCGCCCATCCTCGCCCGCCTTCTCCGCAGTGTCTACACGGAGCGACCTAGCGCCTCGTCTGCGCGCCTCGTCTGTCGCGCGCCTTTCCAGAACATGCTTCCACGGGCCCAACCTCCCAAGTGCTGACGCCTCGGAGCCCAGCCTACCTAAGCCCCCCCAGGCCCCGCCCCCCAGGCCCGCCTCCTCAGAGGTGGCCCACCCAGGCCCCGCCCCCAAGGCCCGCCTCCTCGGAGGTGGCCCGCCCCCAAGCCCCCGCCTTTCCTGAGCCCGCCTCCTCTGCGGAGGCCCGCCCAGCTCCGCCCCCAAGGCCCGCCTCCTCTGAGGTGGCCCGCCCCCAAGCCCCGCCTCCTCTGAGGTGGCCCACCCCCAAGCCCCGCCTCTCAATGTTCGGCTCCTCCCATAGTCCTTCCAAGGAGGAGGCCCAGAGCCCCGCCTCCCTTCAGCCAGCCTGCGCCTGCGCAGTGTGGGCCCCCACTCCCCCCCTTCAGGCTTGCCTCTAGTGCGCAAGTGCGCCTCTACCCTGTCTGAGCCTGGCTGTACAGCCCCGCCTCCCTGCGGTTTCTCTGTTGCGCGGTTTTACTTTTTGTCCACAGGTGTCTGGAAAATATAAGAATAATAAGAATAATTAACAACAATAATAAGAAGTATGCCTGGCATACATAAGCACTTTTAATAAGTGCCTTGCATTATTAAATAAGATGATCCCACAATTAAAACTTCTGATGCTGGGATATGGGAACTTGTAAAAAGTCCCAACAGATGCCTTGAAGCAATTAAGCCAATTATTTAATTTAAATTAAAAAATAATTTTAAAATATTTTTATATCTAATTATTTTCTAAAGACACCATTGGACTTCCTGGAATTGGATGCTTTGGTGAATACAAGGACAGGCGCAGCCTGAATTGTGTTTCTTAGGAGTTTTTCGTGGTCCTGTTGTTGTGGCGTGGCCTCTGAGGGAGGTGTTTGTGAGCATAGAAAGTGTTTTTCCTTTTTTGTTTTTTTTCCTTAAAATTTCTAGGTGATTAGCCCTGGCTAACCTGCCAGTTGGGCTTGGCATATAGTGGACATTCATTAAATGTGTTAAGTGGCCAGAGTAAATTAATTGTTCATTGTCCTGTTGCTGGCCTTCAAGATTCTTTTGAGCTTTTGGTACTTTTTCCTATGGTGCTTTGCTGTCCTGAGCTGAGTTGCTGGCCCCACCCCCTTTAAAAGTTTCTGTTTTAAAGTGTGTTTTTGAACTCCAGTAATATAAGCTGTAATTATAATGTTAAAAAACTATATTCCAAATAATTAGTTTTTTTCATAAAAAGCTAATTATTTGTTATTCCAAGTAATTAGCTTTTTTCATAAAAAGCTAATTATTTGTTATTCCAAGTAATTAGCTTTTTTCATAAAAAGCTAATTATTTGCTGTCCCAAGTAATTAGCTTTTTTCATAAAAAGCTAATTTAAATTTGGGGCAAGTGGGTTATTAATGTTACATATTGAGATTTAAAATTTGTGTGATGTAACAGACTGGTTACATTGCAAGGCAGTGATTGTTTCAATTGGCTTAATTAAACATCTGTGTAATTTACAGAGAAGCCAAATAGAAATATTTCTAAATTAATGAAGAAATTAAAAAAAAATGGCTCCATATATTACAGACTATGAGCCAAGATTTTTTTTAAGGGGACAAATGGGGGCTTTGCTCCCTCAGGCTCCTGCCTTCCTAATGCCCCTCCCTAATTTATAATTATCTATGGGAAATACATGCTTATAATTAAAGCTTGAAATTTATGCTTTGCTTTAAGAATTTTATCTACATATTAAAGAGATTCAGAACATTGGAAAAATATATGCAAATTGCACAAACAATCTACGTAATACTAAGAAAAGGACACTTGAAATGTTAAAGCAACTAAGACTTGCTTAATGATGTTTCATTTCCTAATGAGACATTTATACATGATTTTATTTACTATTATTGCTCTTTGATGTGTTTGGGGGAATAAAAAACCACTTTGAAGAAGTCATTTTATAAAGAGTTAATAATTAATCAGATGTATTTATTTATTCCTAAACTGACTAAAACTTAATTATCATACTTGAAGATGGCTCCTGTCTCAGGCAGCTTGGCTTATGCAGTGTGACCTTAAGGTTTTCAGGAATGGGAAAGCTCAGCAACCCCCATTCCTAGTCCATCCTTTTAAGAGGGAAGTTGAGGAGCCACAATTTTTAAGTCAAACTAAAATTAAGTCACAATGCTCCTTGCCTCTCAATTTGTGCTGCCTCAGTTGCTCTTTAGACATTTGATTAGTTCCTTAGTGTTACCCCTAAGCAGTTTGCCCAAGACCCTCTTTTAACTGATTAAACTACTCTGCTTTGGAGCAGAGTCCCACCCCAAAATTGCAAGGCCCCCAATGGGGAGGGCCTGAGGCGTAGGAGTGGTAAAGGTCACAGATCTTAACTGGTGACCCCCACAAGCCAAATAAGGGGCTTAAATTGTCTAACCAGTGCTGCATAGTTGAAAAACAGAAGTTATGCCCCTGAATGTCTTGGTGGGAAGGGCACACTTCTCTAAGTTACATGAGTGCAGCTCCTCCCCTATTTCCTAAATTAATTAATTACCTTTAAATTATCCTACTGATGTTTTGTTCCCCAAACAGTGTATTCATTGTTGTCTTTTATAGGTGTTAATACCCACCAGACCTGGCTTTAATTAAGCCCACTCCAGTAGCTCTGGACCTTTCTGACCTAGGTCAGGCTGTACCAGGCCACGCTGAGACCATCTTAATAAACTTTTTTAATTTCTATTTTGAGATTATTATTTTTCTAGATGACAAAAGTCACACGTTAGTCACCTGTGTGCTCTACCTATTAGGGAGGCCACAGGAACAGCTTGGGACAAAGGGAAAATGGCTACAGGGGGTTATGGCAGGGGAGGGGGCTAAAAGATGTGGTGGGGGGGTAAGAAAGCAGGGGCATGGGACAAAGAGGACGGGACAAAGAGGATGAACAGGTGTCACGTGGGATGACAGTTTTCCTCTCTTTTTAAAATTATTTTGCTGATTAAAATATTAGCTAACTTTTCTAATTAACAAATTTTTATCTTTTTTATTCATGGACTTTAATTGGTGTCCATTTTTGCCTTGACTGGTCAGAGAAAACTTGTCTTTAAACTTATGTTTGTTCAAAAGTTTTAAACTTAACTTTGTATCCTTAAACTTTTATTAAATTTTTTAATTAAAAGTTTGTAGCTGTTTAAAACTCTTATTGAACATTTTAAATTAAAAGTTTAAACTATTAAAAAGTTTTAAACTTTTGAAAGTTTTAGAACTTTCAAAAAACAGAACTTTTAAAACTTTTCTAAAGTTTTTTAAGCTTGAAACTTAAATGATATTTGTAAGTTCAAACTTTTTAAGTTTTTTTAACTTTCAAAAACAGAACTTTTAAAACTTTCTAAAGTTTTAAACTTTTAAAAAGTTTTTTTAACTTCAGTAAATTTTGTTATTTAACTTCAATAAACTTTGTTAAACTTTTTAAAAAGTTTTCCAGACTATCCAATTACAAAGTTTTTAAAAGTTTCTAAAGTTTTCAGCTTGAAACTTATAAATTGTTTAAGTTCAAACTTTTTAAAGTTGTCTTAAAAGTTAAGTAAATTTTTTTAAACTTTCAAAAAGTTTGCTAGACTGTCCAACTACAAAGTTTTTAAAACTTTAAAGTTTTAAACTTTAAACTTAAAAGTTGTTTATAAGCTCAAACTATTTAAAAGTTTTTTTTTTTTTTAACTTCAATAAACTTTCAAACTTCTAAAAAAGTTTGCTGGATGGTCCAATTACAAAGTTTTAAAGCTTTTAACACTTTAAGATCTTATTCTTTACTATAATTATTTAAATATACTGTATTTGAGATTTGAGAACCTAACAAATGCATAATTATTAACCACTCTAAAAACATTTAACCCTCTTTTTCAGAAAGTACATAGGTAAACCCTGTGCTGTGATTATCACCGCACTCAGTGAAAACATTTAAAAACTACTCTTCCCACATCTGCTCACCTCCTGAGAGTTCAGGGTTACCCCACCTTAATTTCACAAGCCTTTGGGTGGGGCTTTACTGAAAAATCTCAATTAAAAACTAAAGGCTACTTGCTGGTGACCAGTACAAAAAGTTCTATATTTCGTTGACTAATATATATATATATATATTTAAGTACCTCTAAGATTCAGGATGCCCAAGTGGCAATAGCTATAGCCCCTCCCCTTAACTTTAACAAAAGTTACCTTTTGTTATTTAATTAATTAATAACCTTATTCATAATCAGTTACCAGGAATAATTCATTGACTTTTACCTACATTATTTAATTAAAGCATAATAAAATTGAATTATACTATTATCAGGCATCTTTTAAAAATAGCCCATTTCTCCCTAAGTTCCATCAATTAATGTTTGTTTAATGATTGCCTAATAAAGTAAACTGACATCTCCTTGAGCTGTTCAATGCCTTTCTGTCCCATAAAGAATTCCCCTGGGGAAGTTATCTTGTGGTCACAAAAGCGATTAGAGCATCTTGTGTTTTCTGTGATAGTGTTTGTTGTTTGACTTAATAATTAGACCTTCAGTGTTAAGGGTGAGATGTGACCTTTGGCCCAGTATACTTTGTTTTCAGAGATGATGAGTATAGTTGTGGTTTTGATACCTACCTCTTGTGCCTGTGTGTTGGGGGGGAGGGGTTCTTATTGATTAGAAAATTAGTTATTATCTCCCAGCGTGCTACTTAGTAAAATGTATAATGCTGGAATTGTTTTGTATAATTTAGAAGTTGTTTTGCATAATTTGTTTCCTATTTATCTTTGCCTTGTAAGTTTTATGCTGTGTGACCTCCATGAAAAACTACTCCTTTGCCAATAGAAGACTCATTTGGATATCTGGAAATCAAGAAGTAGCATGCTTTTCATTATTTTGTGAATGAGTACTTCATCTTCTTTTAAGGCTGTCTGTTCTGTTGACTAATTATCAACTGATAATTATGAGTGGATACTTGAAAACCCAAATCCCTGCTTATAGCAACTGTATATGTTGAATGCATATGTTGAATGTGTGCTTTTGCTGTCATTTACAGGAACAGGCGGGTTTTGAGAACCAAAAAAAGACGCCGACCACGAGGGGCCCAGGATCCCAGGCTTCCTCCCCAGAGGAGTGAGGCGACCCCTGGGAGGTCCCCTCCCACCACCACCATGGCGGCTGCCGGTGGTGACTGCCCGCCCCCTCCTCCACCACCTCCTCCCAACAACAACAACAACAACAACAAGCCCCAGAGCTCCAACGATGACGAAGATCAGCGCAGATATGAGGATTTTGCTGACAACTACCTGGCTCTGCTGGGCCAGCAGCCAGAGATGAACAACAACCTACAGGAGCAGATGCAGTTATTCTCAGAGGAGAACAGCTTTCTCCGGTTCCCAGTCGAAGATGAAGTTGAACAAGAACCAATACCTGAACACATCCATATCCCTGTCCCTCAGGACAGTGACGAAGACGACCTTGAACTCCAAGGTGCTGCAGCGGCCGCTGCTCCAATCAATTTCGAGGATGACGGCTCTGAAGACCTCCCGGAGAAGTTTGACGGCAACCCCGACATGCTGGGTCCTTTCATATCCCAGTGCCAGATCTTCATGGATAGGAGCACCAGAGATTTCTCAGCTGATAGAATCCGCGTGTGCTTCGTGACAAGCATGCTGACCGGCCGTGCCGCCCGCTGGGCTTCTGCCAAGCTGGAACGATCCAGTTACCTGATGCACAACTACCCTGCTTTTATGATGGAGATGAAGCACGTCTTTGAAGACCCTCAGAGACGCGAAGCTGCCAAACGCAAGATCAGACGTCTGCGCCAGGGCATGGGATCTGTCGTGGATTACTCCAACGCATTCCAGATGATCGCCCAGGACCTGGATTGGAACGAGCCTGCTCTGATTGATCAGTTCCATGAAGGCCTCAGCGACCAAATTCAGGAGGAGCTGGCTCGCCAGGAGACTCCCAAGACCCTGGATGCTCTGATCAGCCTGTGCATTCACATCGAGAGAAGGCTGGCACGTGCTGCTGCTGCTGCTGCAAACAAGCCTCCCACTGAATCCCCACCGAGGGCCCAGGAGACGCCTCAGAACAACCAGGCTGATCCCACCGAGCCTGTGGGCGGTGCTCGCATGCGCCTGACCCAGGAAGAGAAAGAAAGACGCCGCAAACTGAACTTGTGTCTTTACTGCGGCAACGGAGGTCATTACGCCGACAACTGTCCAGCGAAGGCCTCCAAAAATTCGCCGCCGGGAAACTCCCCGGCCCCGCTGTAGAGGGACCTTCAGCGACCGGGCCGGAAAGAATAAGGTCCCCCCCCACCGAGGCTACGACTCCGCACCTGCAAGTGATGCTCCAGATTCATATCCCGGGCAGACACACCCTGTTTGTCCGGGCGATGATTGATTCTGGAGCATCCGGCAATTTCATTGATCAAGAGTATGTCATCCAGAATAGAATTCCTCTAAGGGTTAAAGAATGGCCAATCATGGTGGAAGCTATAGATGGGCATCCCATAGCCTCGGGCCCAATCGTTCTAGAGACTCACCACCTGATTGTCGACCTTGGAGATCATCGTGAAGTGTTGTCTTTTGATGTAACTCAGTCTCCGTTCTTCCCTATCGTCCTGGGAGTGCGCTGGCTGAGTACCCATGATCCCCACATCACCTGGAGCACCCGCTCTATTGTCTTCAACTCTGATTACTGCCGCTTTCGCTGCCGGGTGTTTTCCCAGATACCTCCTCCCCTCCTGTTACCAGCACTACCACAGCTGCATCCACATCTGCACCCTCACCTGCACCCACATCTGCATCCGCATCTGCATCCCGCGCATCTGCATCCCCCGCATCTGCACCCGCATATGCACCCGCATATGCACCCTCATCTGCACCCTCATCTGCATCCTCATCTGCATCCTCATCTGCATCCGCATCTGCATCCGCATCTGCATCCTCATCTGCAGGAGCAGCTGCATCATCTGTATGAGCATCTACATGAGCATCTGCATCAGCATATGCACCAGCATATGCATGAGCACGTGCACGAGCACGAGCAGGAGCAAGAGCAAGAGCAAGAAGAGGAGCAGGAGCAAGAGGAGGAGCAAGAGCAGGAGCAAGAGGAAGAGCAAGAGCAGGAGCATGTGGATCCACATCTGCACCCGCACATGTACCCGCACATGCACCCACACATGCACCCGCATATGCACCCTCCGCATATGCATCCCCATCACGGTCCGCATCGGGATCCACATCAGGATCCAAACCAGGACCCTCACCAGGATCCTCATCAGGATCCTCATGTCCACCTGCACCCCCACGTGCATCCGCATCTGGATCCACACCTGCATCAGCATCTGGATCCACACCTGCATCACTATCTGCATCACCATCTGGATCCACACCTGCACCAGCATCTGGATCCACATCTGCACCAGCATCCTCATCAGCATCCGCATCCACCATTCTTCTACCACATGGATGGATACCGAGTTTTCTACCCTGTGAGGTACTGCTATGTCCAGAATGTGTACACGCCCGTGGATGAGCACGTCTACCCAGGTCACCGGCTGGTCGACCCTCACATAGAGACGATCCCCGGAGCGCACAGCATTCCCAGCGGACATCTGTACTCACTGTCGGAGACTGAGATGGCTGCCCTGCGAAATTTCGTGGAGAGGAGCGTGAAAGATGGGCTCATGACTCCCACCGTCGCCCCCAACGGAGCCCAAGTTCTGCAAGTGAAAAGAGGGTGGAAACTCCAGGTCACGTGCAACACCCGAGCTCCACAGAGCCGCACCATCCAAAATCAGTATCTTCGCCTGTCTCTTCCAAACATGGGCGACCAAGCACACCTGGCCACCTATGCTGAATTAGTCCCTCAAGTTCCTGCATTCCACCCGTTCCCTGTCTATGCCACCTATGCGGGCCATCCAGTGATGTTCGCATGGTACCCAGTGGCACAAGATATACACGGAAGACTGATCGTCGTACCTGTTGTGGTCACCTGGTGTCCAAATTGGTACCGCCAGCCTCCGGTACCCCAGTATCCTCCCCCGCAGCCACCGCCACCGCCACCGCCGCCGCCGCCTCCACCACCACCACCTCCACCACCTCCATCCTACAGTACCTTGTAAATAATCTGCTGTGTCCTTCAGAATCTCCGCCCTCACCTTTAGCCTGTGCAGCTTCTCAATCAATTTCTGTGTGCTTGCTACTGAACTTCAGGCCACCTAAGGCCCCAAAGCACACAGGGAAGTAAGTGGACAAGGCCTAGGTTTTACCTGTTAAAACCTCTCACCATCTCAGTCACAGGCTGCCACATTTCTTTACAGAGAAGCTGATACAAGCACAGGCCATGCTGATTTCTTACAGAGGGGGAGAAGAGGAGGAGGACACACCCACCTGCCCGTATCCTAGTTACATCACTGGAGGACGGGCGCCTTATGAAGGAAGCCACGCTTTTTGGTGCAGTATGGAAAGGCTTCCGTGATCCTCTTGCTGCACCCTATGAAACTTCACCATCTTCAAACTCCATTGTCATGGTTCCGTTAATTTTTCAAGGAGCAGCAATTGGACTGGTTCTTTGCAACACGAAACACCTCAGCTTGAAAAGGAAGTGCTCTCTCAGATAGACTTGTGAGTGTGCCTTCACATTCTGGTGCAAATCCCATGTACCCAAGAACTCTGGCTTTGACGCGACATCTTAATCATCATCATGCCAGTAAGGTTTCCTTACAGTGTTGAACCTGGCGACCAGAGGCTTCTGGTGGCTGTAGGTATGGTAGGTTTATTTTTAGAACGTTGTAACCACCCCTCAATCACGCAAGAGGACTAAAGAGTAGTATGTCAAGAGGACTTCTAAATGTGGTACCCAAACTGTTACAAGGGGCTGTGAGTTAGTTCATTGTTGCTAATTGGCTGGAGAAACACCAGCAAAGTTTTGCAATCATCTACCCCTGTGTCTGCCTCCATATGCATCTGGGCATCCCATCAGCCACCCCCTCATTGGCCTGTACCATGAGGATGTTTAGAGAGGGGAAATGATTTTGCACCCAGATCCACACTCCAGTCATGGAAGATCTCTTTGGAGAAGAGGAATTAGAGCACTGGGCATCGTCTTGAAGATATGAGCTTCTACGAATGAGGTCTCTTGCTACTACCTTGAATCATTCATCTAACCTCTCTTTTTCTGTTTGATTCTCTACTACTGCCATTAACCCTGCTGCAGAGTTTGCCACCTTCCTGCCTGATTGCTGAGACTCCATTTTGCTGCCACGCAAGGAGATGAAAGAGGCAGGCCTAACGGAGAATGTATTTCAATACAGTCTCCAATTGCCAAACACAGGTTGAGCAGTAGGATACAACATGGTTTTTATTTCAGTTTGCTTGTCGTGAAAAGGAGTCTTAATGGTGAAGTTTCCTTTTCCATCAACATCATCTCTCCCTTACCCTTGCATGTTTGAATAGTTTAGTGGGTTGTTGTTTTTTTAAGGATTTTTAAAGTGTTGGCTATGCTTTCAGAATTTTCATTGAATTACAAAGTAATACCCAATTCTTCTGACTCAGTACTGTGATTTCGAATCATCAATTTTAAATTCTATCAATCAGGCCTTTAAAAGTCACCAAAAAGGAGATACAAATTAAAAGAAGACACCCAATCAGTTATTGATTCTCGCTCAATGGAATGAGAAAGCTTGTCAGTCATCCTGTGTTTTACAGTAATTACTTTTAAATGGTGCATTTGTGCTTCTGATTTTTGTGAAGCGTCACTTCAGTTTACCTCAAATCTCAATTCCATCCTTCATACATTTTAAATTCATTTGATCTTCAAGCTGCAGAGTGCCTAGAAATGGGTCATCATCTGCAGCCCTGGCATAGACACAGGGACCTTTGCCGCCACTGCAAGCAAAGATCTGGAGAAGTTGACCACCTCAGTCAGGGAGAACAAGCTGGTGTGAGTTTACAGCTCACAGACAACATCCCTGACCCACATTGGATTGTATTTTGAAGCTTGCCATTGACTTTTCGGCACTGTGTACTATGCTCTATTCCTATATATACTTAAATCTTAGGCTAAGGATAGGTTAGGTTAAGTTAGGTTAAGGATAAGTACTCTTACATTTACTTTATAGTACTGAAATTTTGTTAAGTTTCCTTTTTATCAATTTATTTTGCTTCTGTTGATCAAATTTACAGTAATTGTTTCTACTTTTCTTTTATTTTGGCATTTCCAACAAAAATGTCTTTATTCATTTATTAGGAAGGAAAAATAAGTCAGAAAGGGAGGAGAGAAGACAAACTAGCAAAATTAACTAATTGGCTGTAGGCCCAAATTTTCATTGCTTATTAATTAAAGATGAAGGGGATGTGAGAGTTCCTATTGCTGGTCATGAAGGTCACCATGAAGAGTCAGTTTAGTTTAAACCAGGAGGTGTTTGGCTGAGATAGTAATTTGAGATGGGCATCTGTGTGGTGCACTCCAGGATTGTGTTTAAGTTCACAGGTACCTCTTGGACTCCTGAATTGATCTCGCTGTCACACATCACTGACATCCGCATCCCACATCGTTTCAAGATTGGCAACAGAGAGCACCGTGTTGGAGAGGCCTGAGCAGTCATGAAGGACCACCTGCGGAAGAGAAGAGTCTGCAGGAACCATACTACATATTCAGCTGGAGAGGGAACACGCATCTGATGGGAATGGAATTTGTTGATTGTTTCAGATTGTAGTACATTGTTGAGTTGTTTTAAACATTGCATTGTTTTTCTTTTTCTTTTTCTTTATTCTATAGTCAATTAAGTAATAGGGGATAGATATTTTAGGCTGGGAGGGACTATTAAGTAATCTTAGGTGGGTGGGTAATTTAGGAAGTTAAGATAAGTTAGGATAAGTTAGGATAAGTTAGGTTAAGTTAGGATAAGTTAGGATAAGTTAGATAAGACATCTCAATAAGTGGACACGTGTACTTATTTGTCCCTCTTAACCCTACAAACTGTACCTTTAACATTCAACTCAGAGGAAACTGCAGGGAAATCAACATTTTATGAGTGAATTGGACATGGATAAAATTTATGTGAAAGTTCAAAGATGATTAGTTTAATCTAATAAAGGCCCTAGTAATTAACTCCAGGGATAGATTGTGAGTAAATCATTGAGAGAATTAGCAGATGATAGGCATCATTTGAGAAACTGTTGCTGGAATAAAGCTTATAATGCCAAATGATAAATGTTAATGGAAATTATAAGAAAATGATGAATAAGAATCCTTGCTCTTTCCCTGTCAGTAATCCTCCTCCCCCGCCCCTCCCTACCCCATCCTTTCTTTCCTCCCCCCCTCCAAACCCGCCCTTCAAACAATATTACTGTATTCTCTTTACTATATTTCAATGTATTACTAATGCTGTATTGATGTTACAATAAAAATTCAATAAAAAGACTTAGTGGTTAAGGCAAATTGTGTCCTGATCATTTCAGCGCCCATCTGCATCAAGAATGGAGGGAGGAACAGTGGGATGGGTCTGGAATGATAAAGGGTGGGAGCTAGAAAGAGAAGGGGCTGGGGAGGGGCCAAATGGGAAAAAAAGATGGGGTAAGGGTGGGTATGGGAACAAGTTTGGCATGGAGGTGATATATAAACAACACATCAGACACACCGTTCATTATCAATGATAATGCCCATATTATCCTCCAGAAAATCAAGTAATTCATGCAAGCTGTGAAGTTAACACCAAAAAGTCATCACTTCACAGCAAATCTAGTGACACAATGACTCAATCTCAGTATGACGTGGAATACTTGAGATGTGTTAATATAGTGGATAGGGAGGGACTGGGAGAATGAAAGGGAAAAGCAAGGGTGAAAGAGTGGGAGATGGGGCAGGAGTGAGATCAAGATGGTGGCACGCAACATACCAATCACACAGACTCCTAGCAATGGTGTACCCAGACTAGATGGCCCCAGGAAACCACTTTATTCCATTTAGGAAATACACATGATGGGAGGAAATAAGGGAGGGAGGGTGAGAATGGGAGGGAATGAGGGAGGGGGCTACAGCTGGGATGCAAAGGGAATAAAATGTAATTAATATAAAAAATACACATGAGAGAAAGCAACCAATTAATAGTGATTGCAGTGACACAGCAATCTTAATATCAGTATTTCTTGGAAAAGCTGAGATTTATGAATGGAGGGTGGGAAAGGTTGGCAAAGAGGGCAATAGAATCACAAAGCAGAGTAGGAGATAGGAAGTGATTGCAAGGGCACAAATTGAGTAAACTTGGGTTGGGGCTTTATATGAGGATTACATCAATCCAGCAGGGGATCAAAGTAGATACTGAGACTCACAGCCAAACACTGGACAGAGTACAGGGAGTCTTGTGGAAAAGTGGGGGTAGAGGGAAGGGTAGAAGGATGGGGAAGGGACAGGAACTCCACAAGAAGACCAACAGAGCCAACTAACAAGGGCCCAGAAGGGCAGAGATTGAAGCACCAACCAAGGACCCAGTCTTCCTACACAAATGTAGGCAATGGGAAGCCCAGGCTTCATGTGCGTCCCATAGTAAGGGGAGCAGGGGCTGTCACCGATGTGGACTCTGTTGCCTGCTTTTTGTTCAACCCCCCCCCCTCGTGAGGTTGCCTCACCAGGCCATAGGGAAAGAGGATGTGCTCAGTCTTGATAAGACTTGATATGCTGGGGTGGGTAGGTATGGGAGCTCCCCCTTTTTGAGGAATAGAAGAGGGGGATGGGAAGAGAGTGGGAGGGGGAGACAGAAAGGAGAGGAGAGAGGGGGCTATGATCAAGATGTAAAGTGAATAGATTAATAACAAGAATACACTAATCACAGAAATGAATGACATAAAGGATACCCTAAGAAATAAGCATATTCTAGCTGCAAAAGGCTAACATAGAAACCCACCAATTATAGCAGTGACGTAACACTGCTATAATTCAATGTGATTGGAATTCCTAAGATCTATGAATTGAGATGGGGAGGGAAGAACAGAAGGGAGAGTAAACGTATAGGGTTAGAAATCCATTGGGAAGGATAAATGGAGGAGTGATGTATATGGAACACATCATTCACACAGCTTTGTAGCAAGAATCTGCCCAGAATATGCCAGGAAGTCAACTAATTTGTTCCAGATACTGGACATTACTATCTATAGTAATAAAGTCACCAAATAGTGACGCCATTGACATCATAAACCTCAATACCAACACTAAATAATTAGGATTTATTTAAGTGGATTTGCAGCAAGATGGCTCAGCGGATAGGATGCTTGCTGCCAAGCCTGATAATGCCAGTTGGTCTCTAGACTATACCTCATAGAAGAAGAAGTCCAGTGCCTACAGGTTGACCTTTGACCTCCATAAGCTTACAGTGAGACAGTGGTGTTCCCTTTCCCCCACACAAAATAAGTGGAGAGGGAGGGGGACTTGGGGAACATTTGTGGGGTAGGAATCATAGTGAATAGGGAGACTAAAGGGCGAGAAGTGAAGTTGGGGTTGGGTGTTGGGTGTGCCTTTGGGATGGGATGGTGCATAAAGAAGAGCAATTCCATAACTCACCATCAATTATATGCCTAGGACACCCAAGGGATCAGGATATTCCAGTTGCAAAATATTAGCCAATATAATAAGGCCAACAATTAATAGTGATTCAGTGATCATAACACACTATTACATGGAATACCTGAAATTAATTAGAGTGGAGATGGAAGGACACTGAAGAGAGTGGGAGAGAGTAATGAAATAAGGACAAGGGGGAGAGAATATTAAGAATGGGGTGAGTTTGATGAGAGGGTTTTTTATACTAAAAGAAAAAAATATAAATTATCATTCACACAACCCAGTATCTGAATATACCCAGATATTAACTGATTGGAATTATATATTATCAAACATTAATTAGTACCATGAACGGCTAAGAGATCAGTATTTCCTGTGACATAATGAAGTTTTATCTTTACTATCAGTATTTCTTGGAATAGTTGAGGCTTATTGATTGGAGTGAGGAGGTTAGTATAGTGGGGAAGAGGGAAGAGAGATGGGGAAAGGAAAGAAAGGAGAGAACAGAGAAAGTGAGAGATGGGGCTGATGGGAAAGGTGGGAGATGTGAGGGTCTATAAAGAACACACCAGTGATAGTCCAGGGTCAACTATACACTCACAGCCTCCAAGAAAGTACGCGTATTGTACTTGTAAAATATTAACATATTTAATATTAAAGCCGCCAATAATGACTTCATTACTACATATAATATTAATTAAATGTAATAAGTCAAGAGTAAAAGGAGAGAGAGTAGGGATAGGAAAGTAAGAGAATTGGAAAGGTGGGTGATGTGAAGGGATGGAGATATATAGAGAATGTCAATCACATAACCAAGGAGCAGTGACATAACAAGAAAAAAACTGTAATCCATCTACTATATCTGAAAAACAGCTTCCAATAATAAATCTATCTATCAATAATATAACTTTAATGAAATATTGAATTGGTTTTAATGCCCATTTTATTTGACTACTTCGTGTTTATCAATAGGATTAAGGAATGTAGGAGAGTGGAGAATATGATGGGGAGGGTAGAGAGACACACAGAAGCACGCATGAAAAGTATAGCCAGGGACGAGTCTGAGATAGCGGATGGTGTATAAAGAACATATCAGTCACACAGGGCAGTATCAATTATGTACCCAAAATGCCCCAGAAACCCAATTAACACATTCTGACCACAAAATATTAACATATACAATAATAAATCTAGCAGCAAACTTCAGTGGTGTAAAGAAAGGTGGCGATTAATATAAGTATTACTTAGAATTATTGAAATTCTTTTCGTTGGAGAGAAAAGAAAGGTCTCTCATCACAAGAAGATAAGGGGAACGAGGGAAGAGTGAGAGTGGGGCAAATTTGGGATGGGGTAATATACAAAGAGTACATTAACCATACACAGTAAAACACTCAAGATACCACAAGATAGCTAATATATTCCAGTGGCAAAAAAATAAACAAAGGGACTGGGCAGGTAGTGTGGAGGTTAAAGACCTTGCTCTACAAGCATGAAGGCATAAGTTCAAATGCCAAGAATGGATGTGCTTAAGCTTACACACAAACACATCTCCCACATACACGCCTCAAAATTTTTTTTATGATGGTAACATATGAACACTGACTCCAGTAAGTGACCATAAAAGTTTTGTACTTAATATAAATATTTCTTGGAGATTAAGTAACAAGCTGAGAAGGAAAGGTGATGGGGGTGCAGGAGGTGAGGGGTAAAAACTGGGAGAAGAGAGGATGGGGACAAGAGAGTGAGTGAGTGGGAAGAATTTGGATAGGGGTTGACTTATAAACACACTCACCATACAGCCTATATATTCTAGCTGCCAAAATTCTGACATTAAAGCCAATGCCACATGTGACTATCGTACCATAATTAAACAAAATCCATTGCATAGTGCCAATTTTGCATGAAAATTTTAAGATCTTATCAATAGAGTTTTAGGAGATGAGACAGTAAATACAAGGATCTGGAAGGTAGAAAGCATAAGAGAGTGGGGAGTACACAGAAATGGGCAGAGCAAGGAAGGTCAGGACTTGAGGCGAGTTAGAACCCTAACAGTGATGAAATCAATTATAACCTCGTATAAATTTTAATCCCAGACTGCCCTGCAAGAAATTGACTGATTTATCCAAGCTTCAAAGTTTTAACATATAAAGTAAGGCATCAGTTAATAGTGACGTTAGCCATATAATAAGCTTTATTTTCTATATGAATTTTTCTTAGACTACTTCAGATTTGTGAACAACAATTAACAGAGTGAGGCAATGAAGAGAAAGTTGAAGACGGAGAGATAGAACCCCACGGAGGATGAATCAGTGGGTGAGATGGGGAGGATGAGGTATTTTAAAGAAGACACCTATCTTTGTCAGAGTTTCTATTGCTGTGGAGAGACACCATGACCACGGCAAACATTTAATTGGGACTGGCTTACAGCTTCAGAGGTTGAATCCATTATCATCATGGCAGAAAGCATGGTGCTGGAGTGGTAGCTGAGAGTTATACATCTGGATCCTCCACAAAGAGGCAGAGAGACACTAGGCCTGACTTGAGCTTCTAAAATTGCAAAGCCTTCTCACAGTGCCACACTTCCTCCAACATGGCCAGCTCTACTCCAAAAAGACCATACCTCCTAATACTGCCACTTTCTATGAAGCCATGGGGGCCGTTTTCACTCAAACCACCACAACACCCATCACTCCCCAAACAGTAGGCAGGCATCAGGTAGGCAGGCATGGCACAGGAGTGGTAGCTGAGAGCTTACATCTGACCCACAAGCAGCAGCCAGAGAACAAGGCTGGGCCTGGTGTGGACTTTTGAAACGTCAAACCATCTTCAGCGACATACTGCCTTCAACTTTAGGATTAGGCCACACCTCCTAATCCTTCCCAAAC